AACACCCCAGAGTGCACCACATCACTGATGCTATAACACCCCAGAGTGCACCACATCACTGATGCTATAACACCCCAGAGTGCACCACATCACTGATGCTATAAGACACCAGAGTGCACCATATCACTGATGCTATAACACACCAGAGTGCACCACATCACCCTCATGCTATAACACCCCAGAGTGCACCACATCACTGATGCTATAACACCCCAGAGTGCACCACATCACTGATGCTATAACACCCCAGAGTGCACCACATCACTGATGCTATAACACACCAGAGTGCACCACATCATCCTCATGCTATAACACCCCAGAGTGCACCACATCACTGATGCTATAACACCCCAGAGTGCAACACATCACTGATGCTATAACACTCCAGAGTGCACCACATCACTGATGCTATAACACCCAGAGTGCACCAAATCACTGATGCTATAACACACCAGAGTGCACCACATCACTGATGCTATAACACACCAGAGTGCACCACATCACTGATGCTATAACACACCAGAGTGCACCACATCACTGATGCTATAACACACCAGAGTGCACCACATCACTGATGCTATAACACACCAGAGTGCACCACATCACTGATGCTATAACACACCAGAGTGCACCACATCACTGATGCTATAACACACACCAGAGTGCACCACATCACTGATGCTATAACACCCCAGAGTGCACCACATCACTGATGCTATAACACACACCAAAGTGCACCACATCACTGATGCTATAACACCCCAGAGTGCACCACATCACTGATGCTATAACACACCAGAGTGCACCACATCACTGATGCTATAACACACCAGAGTGCACCACATCACTGATGCTATAACACACTAGAGTGCACCACATCACTGATGCTATAACACCCCAGAGTGCACCACATCACTGATGCTATAACACCCCAGAGTGCACCACATCACTGATGCTATAACACACCAGAGTGCACCACATCACTGATGCTATAACACCCCAGAGTGCACCACATCACCCTCATGCAATAACACACCAGAGTGCACCACATCACTGATGCTATAATACACCAGAGTGCACCACATCACTGATGCTATAACACACCAGAGTGCACCACATCACTGATGCTATAACACACCAGAGTGCACCACATCACTGATGCTATAACACCCCAGAGTGCACCACATCACTGATGCTATAACACACAAGAGTGCACCACATCACTGATGCTATAACACACCAGAGTGCACCACATCACTGATGCTATAACACCCCAGAGTGCACCACATCACTGATGCTATAACACCCCAGAGTGCACCACATCACTGATGCTATAACACCCCAGAGTGCTCCACATCACTGATGCTATAACACACCAGAGTGCACCACATCACTGATGCTATAACACACCAGAGTGCACCACATCACCCTCATGCTATAACACCCCAGAGTGCACCACATCACCCTCATGCTATAACACACCAGAGTGCACCACATCACTGATGCTATAACACCTCAGAGTGCACCACATCACTGATGCTATAACACCCCAGAGTGCACCACATCACTGATGCTATAAGACACCAGAGTGCACCATATCACTGATGCTATAACACACCAGAGTGCACCACATCACCCTCATGCTATAACACCCCAGAGTGCACCACATCACTGATGCTATAACACCCCAGAGTGCACCACATCACTGATGCTATAACACCCCAGAGTGCACCACATCACTGATGCTATAACACACCAGAGTGCACCACATCACCCTCATGCTATAACACCCCAGAGTGCACCACATCACTGATGCTATAACACCCCAAAGTGCACCACAACACTGATGCTATAACACTCCAGAGTGCACCACATCACTGATGCTATAACACCCAGAGTGCACCAAATCACTGATGATATAACACACCAGAGTGCACCACATCACTGATGCTATAACACACCAGAGTGCACCACATCACTGATGCTATAACACACCAGAGTGCACCACATCACTGATGCTATAACACACCAGAGTGCACCACATCACTGATGCTGTAACACACCAGAGTGCACCACATCACTGATGCTATAACACACCAGAGTGCACCACATCACTGATGCTATAACACACCAGAGTGCACCACATCACTGATGCTATAACACATCAGAGTGCACCACATCACTGATGCTATAACACACCAGAGTGCACCACATCACTGATGCTATAACACACCAGAGTGCACCACATCACTGATGCTATAACACCCCAGAGTGCACTACATAACTGATGGTATAACACACCAGAGTGCACCACATCACTGATGCTATAACACCCCAGAGTGCACCACATCACTGATGCGATAACACACCAGAGTGCACCACATCACTGATGCGATAACACACCAGAGTGCACCACATCACTGATGCGATAACACACCAGAGTGCACCACATCACTGATGCGATAACACACCAGAGTGCACCACATCACTGATGCTATAACACCCCAGAGTGCACCACATCACTGATGCTATAACACCTCAGAGTGCACCACATCACTGATGCTATAACACACCAGAGTGCACCACATAACTGATGCTATAACACACCAGAGTGCACCACATCACTGATGCTATAACATCCCAGAGTGCACCACATCACTGATGCTATAACACACCAGAGTGCACCACATCACTGATGCTATAACACACCAGAGTGCACCACATCTATAATGTACTCCAATACAATGCGAGTATAGCAGTCCACAGTCTTGTGTTGAGTTGTGAAGCATCCTGTGAGACGCCTGAAGCTTAACAAGCTGCACGCAATAATTTATCATAAAGACACAACGTTTTGCTGTAGTAATGTAGAATTTGGGTTTTAAAATGTGCTTTAAACTTCCTCACAAAATTTAAAAGATTAATAATTCTCTCACTCGGATTTGATTGATCATTGCAGTTGAAGGCTTGTTGAAGCACTGCAGCATTACAGGCTTGTTGAAACACTGCAACACTGTAGGCTTGTTGAAGCACTGCAACACTGTAGGCTAGTTGAAGCACTGCAACACTGTAGGCTTGTTGAAGCACTGCAACACTGTAGGCTTGTTGAAGCACTGCAACACTGTAGGCTTGTTGAAGCAATGCAGCATTACAGGCTTGTTGAAGCACTGCAACACTGTAGGCTTGTTGAAGCACTGCAACACTGTAGGCTTGTTGAAGCACTGCAACACTGTAGGCTTGTTGAAGCACTGCAACACTGTAGGCTTGTTGAAGCACTGCAGCATTACAGGCTTGTTGAAGCACTGCAGCATTACAGGCTTGTTGAAGCACTGCAACACTGTAGGCTTGTTGAAGCACTGCAGCATTACAGGCTTGTTGAAGCACTGCAGCATTACAGGCTTGTTGAAGCACTGCAACACTGTAGGCTTGTTGAAGCACTGCAACACTGTAGGCTTGTTGAAGCACTGCAGCATTATAGGCTTGTTGAAGCACTGCAGCATTACAGGCTTGTTGAAGCACTGCAGCATTACAGGCTTGTTGAAGCACTGCAGCATTACAGGCTTGTTGAAGCACTGCAACACTGTAGGCTTGTTGAAGCACTGCAGCATTACAGGCTTGTTGAAGCACTGCAGCATAACAGGCTTGTTGAAGCACTGCAACACTGTAGGCTTGTTGAAGCCCTGCAGCATTACAGGCTTGTTGAAGCACTGCAGCATTACAGGCTTGTTGAAGCACTGCAACACTGTAGGCTTGTTGAAGCACTGCAGCATTACAGGCTTGTTGAAGCACTGCAGCATTACAGGCTTGTTGAAGCACTGCAGCATTACAGGCTTGCTGAAGCACTGCAATACTGTAGGCTTGTTGAAGCACTGCAGCATTACAGGCTTGTTGAAGCACTGCAGCATTACAGGCTTGTTGAAGCACTGCAACACTGTAGGCTTGTTGAAGCACTGCAGCATTACAGGCTTGTTGAAACACTGCAGCATTACAGGCTTGTTGAAGCACTGCAGCATTACAGGCTTGTTGAAGCACTGCAACACTGTAGGCTTGTTGAAGCCCTGTAACACTGTAGGCTTGTTGAAGCACTGCAGCATTACAGGCTTGTTGAAGCACTGCAGCATTACAGGCTTGTTGAAGCACTGCAGCATTACAGGCTTGTTGAAGCACTACAACACTGTAGGCTTGTTGAAGCCCTGTAACACTGTTGGCTTGTTGAAGCACTGCAGCATTACAGGCTTGTTGAAGCACTGCAGCATTACAGGCTTGTTGAAGCACTGCAGCATTACAGGCTTGTTGAAGCACTGCAACACTGTAGGCTTGTTGAAGCACTGCAACACTGTAGGCTTGTTGAAGCACTGCAACACTGTAGGCTTGTTGAAGCACTGCAACACTGTAGGCTTGTTGAAGCACTGCAACACTGTAGGCTTGTTGAAGCACTGCAACACTGTAGGCTTGTTGAAGCACTGCAGCATTACAGGCTTGTTGAAGCACTGCAACACTGTAGGCTTGTTGAAGCACTGCAACACTGTTGGCTTGTTGAAGCACTGCAGCATTACAGGCTTGTTGAAGCACTGCAGCATTACAGGCTTGTTGAAGCACTGCAGTATTACAGGCTTGTTGAAGCACTGCAACACTGTAGGCTTGTTGAAGCACTGCAACACTGTAGGCTTGTTGAAGCACTGCAACACTGTAGGCTTGTTGAAGCACTGCAACACTGTAGGCTTGTTGAAGCACTGCAGCATTACAGGCTTGTTGAAGCACTGCAGCATTACAGGCTTGTTGAAGCACTGCAGCATTACAGGCTTGTTGAAGCACTGCCGCATTACAGGCTTGTTGAAGCACTGCAACACTGTAGGCTTGTTGAAGCCCTGTAACAATGTAGGCTTGTTGAAGCACTGCAGCATTACAGGCTTGTTGAAGCACTGCAGCATTACAGGCTTGTTGAAGCACTGCAACACTGCAGGCTTGTTGAAGCACTGCAGCATTACAGGCTTGTTGAAGCACTACAGCATTACAGGCTTGTTGAAGCACTGCAGCATTACAGGCTTGTTGAAGCACTGCAACACTGTAGGCTTGTTGAAGCCCTGCAGCATTACAGGCTTGTTGAAGCACTGCAACACTGAAGGCTTGTTGAAGCACTGCAATACTGTATGCTTGTTGAAGCACTGCAGCATTACAGGCTTGTTGAAGCACTGCAACACTGTAGGCTTGTTGAAGCCCTGCAGCATTACAAGCTTGTTGAAGCACTGCAGCATTACAGGCTTGTTGAAGCACTGCAACACTGTAGGCTTGTTGAAGCACTGCAGCATTACAGGCTTGTTGAAGCACTGCAGCATTACAGGCTTGTTGAAGCACTGCAGCATTACAGGCTTGTTGAAGCACTGCAATACTGTAGGCTTGTTGAAGCACTGCAGCATTACAGGCTTGTTGAAGCACTGCAGCATTACAGGCTTGTTGAAGCACTGCAACACATTAGGCTTGTTGAAGCACTGCAGCATTACAGGCTTGTTGAAACACTGCAGCATTACAGGCTTGTTGAAGCACTGCAGCATTACAGGCTTGTTGAAGCACTGCAACACTGTAGGCTTGTTGAAGCCCTGTAACACTGTAGGTTTGTTGAAGCACTGCAGCATTACAGGCTTGTTGAAGCACTGCAGCATTACAGGCTTGTTGAAGCACTGCAGCATTACTGGCTTGTTGAAGCACTGCAACACTGTAGGCTTGTTGAAGCCCTGTAACACTGTAGGCTTGTTGAAGCACTGCAGCATTACAGGCTTGTTGAAGCACTGCAGCATTACAGGCTTGTTGAAGCACTGCAACACTGTAGGCTTGTTGAAGCACTGCAACACTGTAGGCTTGTTGAAGCACTGCAACACTGTAGGCTTGTTGAAGCACTGCAACACTGTAGGCTTGTTGAAGCACTGCAACACCGCAGGCTTGTTGAAGCCGCGTAGGCTTGTTGAAGCACTGCAGCATTACAGGCTTGTTGAAGCACTGCAACACTGTAGGCTTGTTGAAGCACTGCAACACTGTAGACTTGTTGAAGCACTGCAACACTGTAGGCTTGTTGAAGCACTGCAACACTGTAGGCTTGTTGAAGCACTGCAACACTGTAGGCTTGTTGAAGCACTGCAGCATTACAGGCTTGTTGAAGCACTTCAGCATTACAGGCTTGTTGAAGCACTGCAGCATTACAGGCTTGTTGAAGCACTGCAGCATTACAGGCTTGTTGAAGCACTGCAACACTGTAGGCTTGTTGAAGCACTGCA